AACTTTAGACCAGGGGCGATTCTTAGATGTGATCCTCAGGGTAACTAACGACATACGATAGACACGCCTTGGGTAGCTGTGGCGATTTCTTTGTTTTAGCAACACTTAGATTCAGAATGAATAATCTGTAACTTAGAGTAACTTTCCAATTCTGAGATAAGGTGTGGTTCCTTCCTCTTCACGGCTTCAAAAAAAAGCATTTTTAGCTTTTTGCAGTTCAAGACCTCATACAGCCTCCTAAACTTGTTCCGTCTTGTTTTCGCAGCGCATATGTAATCATACTTCTCGTCTGAGATGTGTTTGTGCAGTTCATCCAGTATGGGTTCGATCAGTGACACTCTCTGGATGATGGCTGTCCGGTGTTGGTCTACAAACGCCACACCTGAATGATAAGAGGCCATTAGAGAATGAGCTGAAATAAACCTCTGATTCAACAAAGCCAATATTCATTTAAAAGCAATTAGTTTGTTAATATGCCAAAATGAATGACAGGAATAAGTTGCAGTTTGGAAAAACGGGAAAAAATTGTTTGTAAATATGATACAATTATCATGTAATTAGCATTGACAGAGGTAAACTAAACATTGCTGAAGTGAATCATTCACCCTAAATAGATTCATAGGTGATGATTAGTATTCATTATGCAAAGACTTCTGTAGCCCAACCACTGAGAAAGGAACCCGGACACAGTTCCTATTATCATCTGTTTGGATTAAAACTGTTAACTTAGGTAAAGCGTTTTCTGTATGTTCAGTGAGTTATGGGATGGTTAAATCCATCTTTTGACCTCATGAAAATGTATTTGGATGCAGTGTGAATGTCATTATGACATCAGAAAAGGTATAACGGGCTGAGCAGGAGAACCTCAATGCCACCAAAGCAGGAAGTGACACCAATGCCTGCATTAGAGATGCTGCCAATCAGCAACATCTGTGTGAGTCCAAACAATGACCCAGTTTGGGTTCTTTGTCCCAGTGCTCATGAAGGAGGCGGCAAGAAATACCTGTGGGCTGAACTTCCCCTTCTGTAATAGATGGTGATGGAGGAACAGCATCTACGGGAAGAGACACCATCTTGGTTAAGGATGTCTTTGACGGCTTTTTGGTTAGTAACTCTGAATTGGCGTTAGGTATTACTCCAGCTAACTGAATGAGTTTGTGAAAATTCCTGTTAAATGAGGTCTTTGCCATTTGAAAATGACATTAAGCAAACAGCAGAACCCTGCCTTTCACAGTGCAGTGAACAGGAAAGCATTTTCTTAGATAAATGAGATACATGTGAAGCATTAAGCAGTTAGAATCAGGGGGGCACACTGCCCACACTGGAATCCCTGCCCAGTGGTTAATCATGTTTGCTTGTCCTGATGGTCTCACACAGCCCCTTCGGTTTATTTCCATATAGAAATAGCATGTTATTACCTGTGAGATCGATGAAGCGCTGCCACACGTCTTTACCGCTCCTGTTTTCCAGGACACTCAGCTCCACTTCCATCACATCACACTTCAGAAATACCTCAAAAGTTGGGTGGATTGTTTGGTCAAAACTGTATTCGAACTTTTCATTCTAGTGGTGAAGAGGAGACCCACTGATGAATAACTGATGAAGTTAGTCTCGATTGATATATCAGCTGGCCAATAAAATTGGTTGATATTAAGATTCCATAAATTCATCAGTGTTGGTGGGAAAACCCAACAGTAAAGCACCTATTATGTCTCTTTAAACAATGAGAAAAGTAGCTCTGACTGGGGAATATGCAGAGAAGCTGCATGTCCTGTATTAAAACATGCCAGTCTTAGCCTGAGACAGTGTTAAGTTTGGAAAAATAACTGAAAACAATCTTGTGCGTGTGTATGAGTGCAGTTGACTTGTGATGCATTTAGTAAGAACAGATAGAAATTTGCTCATTTGATCAACATTGTGTGGCTTTTTATAATGTATAATTTGTATAATTTACTTCTTTATAAAGTTATTTGATTGTTATTTAAATTACTTTAAGATTTTTCTGTTGTTTATTGAGTAAAACACTGTTTAAAACCACTAGTGTAAAACTTTTCACCACGTAAAATCGGCCATTATTTGTTATTGGGGCGTTTTGCTCCTTAAAACATGAATCAGTATTGGAGACAAAATTTTCAAACTGCTTGGGTTGTACTTTGTTGTGATAATCAAAGCCATGGATCTCCACTGCTGTTAATAGATAAGTGTATGGTTTCAAGCTGGTGTATTCAAACTTTTGGTTGGTACTGTATGGCATTTGGATATATTAACACGTGTTCTTCTGTCGTTGTTTGGGTCGTCACCTCTGGCTGGATCCTCCTTATTGCCTTGTGGTCACAGGACATCCTGTATCGCCGTTTATGAATGAGTTTGCACATGGAGCTGGTAGGAATGCAGATGTTTTGTCTCTGTTGCTCCTGCTGGTGCACCTGCATCGGGTAACACTGACAATGAGCATCATAACCTGTCAACTGCCTTATTCATCTCCCTAAGCTGCCCCATGTGGATAATGATAGAGCCCTAACTCTTATTTCTACAAAGAAATGTAATGTGTTTTATAACCTTGAACAAACATTCACTTGGAAGACCAGCCATTAAGGTATATTTTGTGACTATCTGCATATCGGAGTGTCTGTGTTGAATAGAGGGCATGAGCACCGGTGAAACAATCAGGCTTGGAAATGCTCACCTGGTCAGGAGGCACATTTAGGGGCAGCAAGAACACGTTCAAGATTTGTGGTTTGGGCCGGAGCAGCAGTAGCACTTGCCCACGGACTTTGCTGGATTTTTTTCTCTTTATGACACCAAAACCAGAGAGGCTGGTGATGCTGATGACCACATGTGTGTCTGTCACCTCCTGTGGCCGCAGAATCTCCATGTTGTCTTTGGTTACATGTGCAACAGCCAGGTTTTCATCTGGAAGCAAAATCGATTGACTCTCATGGGAAGAAGTAAGAAGCCTTCAGTTTGATTCCTAAGTCTCCTCTCAATACATTAAGCATATGTGATATCTGATAAGCTGGAAGATTCACTTTCATTCCGCTTTTATTTCTGTATTATGTGTCCTGCAGGTGAGCACATGCCACACCCCACGTATTGCTGTTTGTGTGACACTGTTCCCCCCCCACACAGCAAACATAAAGTGGCTGTATATAACATCTCCCCTTCCTCCCCTCCCCAGCAATGTCAAACCACCACTCAGTCTCCTTACTGTTTTCAAGACTCCGGGGTGCATTGAATTATTAGCTATTTATACATTTTTCAGAGTTTCACCTTATATATTCTGTATTAAACACAGTAGGTCAGAGTCCTTCACACAACTACTTATTGTAACACAAACTGTCTAAACCATCCTGGGTAAGTATGATAGGAAGTATCTGAACTTTCACATTAGCCTGTAAAATTTACCTGCAGAGATCTCACAGTGAGGGAGGTGCAGCTCCTTCAGGGCCCCTTGGGGACACTCGATGTTAAAAAGGGGCCCCGCTAGACTCCAGCTGCCGGGGGTCTTGGGGGCTTTTTCCCAGGAGCAGAAGCTATAGGTCACCTCCCCACTGGACTCCATCACAAACCCCAAGCCTGTGACGCTGCAGAAGAACCTTCCAGCATGATTCACCTGGAACCTGTATCACAGAACCAAGGTTGGGGGAGAGACTCTGCCAGTGAACCCAAGATGGTAACATACTGATTGCGTCCTCTACACTGGAGAGTGTGACTCGTATTTGATGTGATGAAAAGTCACTGGATGAGACAGACGGATGTCTTCATTATCCAGTTGCAGGCTTCAAACAGTGATGTGAAAGTTCACTTACATAAGACACAGCAGATTTACCTGTATTCTCTCATGTTGCTTGTTTCCTCCACATCTGGTGTAAATAAGTGCTCATTTCTTGACACCTGAGGAAAAACATTATAATCATCACTCAACACTTTGGGCTAATCATTAAAAAAAGATGGTGTTGTCACCTTCATGATTGGCTGGCTTATTTTATTAATCTTAACGTATAACCTGGTATAACTTTGATTTAATCCTGTTTGCACAGTGATTCTGAAATTATCACAGAATCCAGTTTCAGTGCAATATCCCTAAATTCTGTATGTTAATTTTAAATAATTCAGTTCAGTTGAGAAGGGAGATCTTTATGGTGATTGGATTGATATATTTTTCACTATTCTGAGAAAACTAAACAACTCACCAGCTGAAGAATCCAATCCATGTCAATCGTTGCAGATGTGGAGACTCTGTGATGTTGAGGAGATGAGGGTTCCTCGGAGATGTTTCTGAGCTTCACTTCCTTTTCCAAGAATTCTATTAAGTCCTTCGCTGCATATTAAAAATGAACATCAAAACATGCTTAATCACACGTTCCACACCTGAGAAGTCTTTCACTGTAACTCAGTAGCAGCCTGAGTAACCATTTGAAACATTTTACTGTATTGCAATCTCACTGCATGCAGGAGAACTCACCAGCAGGTAAGGATTCAGACATTGGCTCTCTACCGGATAGCTGCTGCAGGGCACAACAATGAAAACTTTTATTGCTGATCTCTACAGTTACATTGTAGAAATCTGAAAGTACACGTGTCCGAAATGTGAATTAAGATCAAACAAAGAGATCCGCAATTAAATTTTTACTAGTAAAAACTCAAATATGGATATGTGGACCTGGAATTCTTACTAGTCAGAATGGGCTTACAGATATCTACATTAGTTGGATATGTGGACCTGGAGTTCTTACTAGTAAAAATTAAATTATGACGAGTAATAAATTAAATTAAGAGACCTAAAATTACAGTTCTTACTAATCATAATAATATTACCAATATCTTTGAACAGGTTTCCTGGAGTCAGAATGTAATGAAAAGCTCTACAACTGTAAGTCTTACTACTAAGAACTGAATTGCAGAGCTCTTGGTTTAGTATGCAAATTGAAATTCATGCATATTCATGTCCCTCATTAGCAAAACCGGCATGAGGCAGGAAAAGTTCATTGAAAATGGATGAGGGCACGGAGAAATGTACAGCTCCAGAAGAAGAAAACCCAGTATTGGCCTTCAATCGGGTTCTTAAAGTCACCTGAGTGGTTCACAGTATTCAGCACCAACTGCAGCAGAGTGGCTATGACAACGTTGTGTTAGCAACATGGCTAATATGTCAAAGAGGAAATATTCAAGGTAAATAAATGCAGAGAAGGTGCTTAGCTAGCTAGATACCCAAGGGAAGCGGGGAGAGGTGCACACTGCAGATGGGAGTAGATGTGCTGACCCAGTCAGGTTACTTTCATTTGAAAATAATATTCATGCCATGAAAATGACATCATTTTCAACTGAGCGGGTGAAAAGGCCCACTTAAGTTGTGTGTGCACCGTCCTACATTGTCTTTGCATTGGGGGTTTCGCTACAGAAATCACCCCTGACCCTCCACATGGAACGGCAATGCAGTCAGGTGAAGAATTAGGTTCCTGTCCGTGGCTCTGCTTCAATGCCAGTGCATGAGGCTGATGGACATAAGTCCTCTTAAATTCAGCCATCTTGGAGTCTGTCTGAATTTAGGCAATACGTTTGCCAGAGCTATCCAAACGTAAGCCCTAATCTGGTGAAGTTTGACTTAGCCAGGGCAGAAAGAGGCAAGAGTTTGAGAAAACTTCAAGTTACATCAGTTAAGAAGCTCAAGCAAGTGGCTAGGAAGAGCAGGCTGTATGTCGTGTCACTATTATGATAAACACCACAAATGTCTCAATTATGGTTACTTTAAAATTCTGTTAAATTCAAGTTCTTCATTAGCAAATCCGGCATGAGGCGAGAAAAGTTCATTCAAAATGGATGGACAACGTACAGCTCCAGAAGAAGAAAACCATTAATTAATTAATTAAGGTTACTTTTAAATTCTGTTCAGTGTTGATACCATTTTTGTAGGAAGCAGCACCTTCTCCCAGTGCCACCAATATCAGGTGACCCTTCTCCAGAAGGTACCAGACTTCACACCCATGGTGAGGTAACACGAACATCACTGATGTATTTACTCCAGGCAATTTGTGCCAAATTTGACGTGACATGTTCACTTTTTCTTAAAAAAAGCATAAAACTTGGCACACCTGTACAGTTTAGGCCCCTGAACATTTTCAGAATTAGAGCCATTGCAAAAATGCCTTGTGGTGGCTGTTTTACTTTCCGACACACACACACACACACATATATATATATTTTTTACTTCCACTTCCACGCAGTTCTAATGTCTTACCGAAAACATGCTATGCAACTCCTCCTCGCCAAATGGGTCCGACGCCACACGGCGATGCGTGGCCGATGCCTCACCGCAAGATGGAAGGAACAAGTGAAGGCGATTCTGCAGGGACAAGGTTCTTCAGGGGAGTATGCAAGCCTTTAAAAGCCATCAATTCAACTCTTCAACAACACTAGATATTATCTTTGTAGACAGTGAAGGTGAGGCATAGGGGGCTGTAGATGAAGGAGGACCAACCAGAGAATATCTCAGGTTGCTCATGAAGACCATAAAACAATGTAACATCTTCGAAGGTCCTGAGGATGCATCAGTTTTAACCCTTGATACCCATGGCAAGCGGCAAAGCTTCTAACAAGTTGAAATTATGAGGTCTAACTATTTACTAAATAATGGAATTTAAATACATCTCTAGGATGCTCTGGGATGCATCATCAGTGATGTTCCTGGGGTCATTGGGGGTTTCGGGTCTTTCAACATCAGACCCCCTCACACGCAGGTGACCCATCCGGGATTGATCAGGTCCCGGATTGCATCCCAGCAGCACTAACCCACGGGCTCGCCCTCTTTATCCAAAGCCACCGCGTGGCTTTTTCTGCGGCTTCAGTGACGGAATGTATGACTCCCCTCTTGACAGCTCTGGTTACTCCAAGACCTACCAGAGCTCTGCATAATGACCGGCTAACAAACCCCCGGCAGCCCACTTCAATTGGCTCACAGGAAGCCCGCCAACCCTGGCCTCTGCACTCTTCCACCAGGTCTTCGTACTTTGCCAACTTCCTCTCATGCGCCTCCTCCATGTGCTCTTCCCACGGCACAGTTACCTCCCACATGATAACCTGCTTGGTGGTGTCTGAGTAGATAAGCAAGTCTGGGCGCAGTCTTGTCTGGGTGAAGTGTTCGGGACCTTTAATTGTTTCCCAAGGTCCACTCCCAGCTGCCAATCTGAAGCCAGGGCATTTGGGCGGGAATGGGGCTTCTCTCCAGCTTTTTGGAAGAAGATGGCATTCTTCCTGGGGCGGTGTCTGCCAACAAGAATGGCTGAAGTGGCTACTTCCGCAACTGCCTTAAGCACCTGGTCATGGTGCCAACGATAACGACCATCGGCCAGGGCCTTGGGGCAGCTGCTAAGGAGGTGTTGAAGGGAAGGTGTCTCCCTCTTGCCCCAATTGTGAAGGTTTGCAGGGCTTGGCAAAGTGTCATAGACAGCCTGGACCAGGAAACTAATTCGGTGGCTATCCGCCCGCCACAGATCTGCCCACGATACCTTCCGCTGCTGCATATTCTCCCACCTTGTCCAGGCTCCCTGCTGTCTGAGTCCCACCATCGTGCTGCCTCTCACTTCCTCTACACCTGCACACACTTCCTCCTGGAGAAGATGCTGTCGCTCCTTTCCTTTGGCTGTGCAAACCTGACTGCTTCGGAAGCAGCCCAGGCCTGATCGCCCTCTTGCCACCGTCCCGACAAGGGCCTTCTGTCTCAGCCGTGCCTCTACCACCTGTAGCTCTCTGGCAGCGCTCCACTTCCTGCCTGTGCGGACCTCATTGCCCGCTGCTGCCACCTTGGGGTCCCTGGAGTCTCTGTACTGCATGGCCTCTCTTGTCCGTGTCACCACAAATTATACAATTATACAATAGTTAGTACTGACCTCCTGTCATGATTGCCGGAGAGGTATCCTAAGATTGCTGATGTACCATAGCAGCACTCAGACATTTATTTAAATATCTTTCTGCATTATTTACCTTGTTTTACTGGTCACACTAGTGAAATATTGAAAGTGTAACAACCTCAGGTTTATTATTACAGAATTAAGTACTACTAACACTGCAATTCAATATATTTTTCAGCTCCTGAGACCAGATGATACACAATTATAGGACAAACGATACCCGTCTGCATCATTCATGGTGGTGTTGGGCCACAGTTCTTTTCTAGCTGTCTGTTTTTGCAGTTGTGTGGCAGACCAACAGCCCCTGTTACCTTGGATGAGGTTGGTAACTACTGACTCAGACACAAGTTATCTAAAGTGAGTATGGTCATGCATTAGAGGATAGCTCTGGCCATTTCCAACCTATACCCTTCTTACTTTGTCAGTTTATGCAGTATAGAGAAGGTTAGTGTCTCTCTGCAGCCCTTCACTAGATTAAAACACTGCACACCAATAAAATAGCTTTAAAGTCCTTTGTACAGCTCTCCTCTATTTATTTATTTTTTTAGATAAAATACGCTGAGTCAGTTGAAGAGGCCAATACTGAGGGCAGCCTCAGCGTCATGGGAGCCCTTTGTTACGTTTCTTCGCTGGGGGGGAGGAATGCTATGGTCCAGTCAGCAGCAGAATATTATGTCAATGGATGGACCCATGTGGGACTGATACAGTGAGTGGCTTAACTGGACTTAAACAGTGATTCAGAATCTCACAAAAAATTGAACTAGTTCAACGTTGTTAATTATACATGTGTTATAATGTGTTTTTCTAATATTATTCAAATGTTTTTTATTTGGGCTACCTGAAAGTGGTGGCTTGATGGTTAGGGAAGCGCACTTGTAATTGAAAGATTGCAGGTTCAAATCCCCGACCAGCAAGACACCACTGAGGTACCCTGAGCAAGGTACCACCCCCAAGCACTGCTCCCTGGGCGCTGAATTAGCTGCCCCCTGCTATGTCACGAAAGTCACATATGGGTCAAATGCAGAGGACACATTTCATTGTTGTGTGCTGTGGTGTGTTGACAATGACCACTGATCACCTAATTCTAAATTCTTTTCGGGCTACCAACTGATGGATGCCTGCCCGAAGGGCTACCAGGGATTTTTTAAAATTCTGTGAGCCCTTAAATATGTAACTCACTCATTTCTCCTGTCAAGCTTGGATGTTTATTTCTGTCGTTCACTTTGCTTTTCACCAACTGAGGCACCTCGCCCCATCCGACGCCCCCAGTTAAAAACGTGCTTACAGTTGCGTTTTGCTTGTTCCCAGCGGACAAATTTGTAGCTTGCATATATAAATGCAAATAATAATAATAATACATTTAAAAATAATACATGCAAGTTGTCTCCCCCCCCACCCCGCACCACCAGGAACTAGAAACACAGAAGAGAAATAACTTATCACATAATTGTCGCTTAAAGTAGCCCTGTAAGTGAACTGTGGGAATGCAGCGGAGCTGAAACACTGCAAGCGTTTAAAGTAAAATTACTCAGGTTATGTGCGCTTTTGTTACTTTAAAACGGATCACAGTACTGCCATCTTCCCTTATCAATTGAAGTTATATATCATTTCTGCTTTCTACCCATAAGCTTTCATCTTTCCCATCGTCATTTCTGTTGCAATATGTTACAGAAAAATAAGGGAGGGATGCTGGTATGGAGGAAATAATATGCGAAAGTAAAGAAGTGAATAAAGAAAGGCATAATTCAACATACGTCAGTACCCG